TACATATACATATACATATACATATACATATACATATACATATACATATACATATACATATACATATACATATACATATACATATACATATACATATACATATACATATACATATACATATACATATACATATACATATACATATACATATATATATATATACTCTTTGAGTATGAAACGTGTATTCGCATTGGCGTTATGTGTGGGAGCATGTTTAGCAGTCGGTAGCACACAATCCGTCCAGATTGAGCTGCATGCACTTAGAGCCGGGCGTAACAACAGCTTATATACCATGGAATCGGATGACGACTACGGGTCAGCTGTTGCATTCTCTATTGGGCATACAGTCGCCTGATCCACGTGACAGTGCCGCAAAAGTTGACAAGGTAGGACCATGGCGTGTATTAGGCCGTACCTACCAGTTTATCACATGGTGTCATAATCACAGTTTGTACAACTGTTGCTGACAAGCACATATGCGTCATTAAGTATCCGTTCTCATAGCTTAGAAGTTGCCTATGTACAGTAGCGCTAAGGTTGTCGATCATTTCAACGGCTTTTACTGTACCGTCCAACATATCAGGGTGTCGTGATGTAATAAATATTAGAAACGTCCAAACATTGATTTACGTAACAAAACAAAGTTGGTCTAACAATATATGCTCAAAAGCACATGAATGTACATTTTTAATCACGCTCACATTCGCATTTACAGTATATAAAAATACTACCTGTTTATATGTGTGTAGGTCTCTTTTCGAAATTCTACCTTTCCAGGAAGCAAACCAAAGTTTTTGCTTACATACGAATAGAGTATACACGCAAATAGTCCGATATATAATTATAAACAGAAGCCGGGTATGTACGAAGTTGTTTTTTTCCAATACATAGATATATCATCACGCACTAGCACCGTTAGAGGTGTATACTCTGGTATACATTCACACGGTCATAGATAGTTGCATGTAATATTCCCCCGTTGCTACACTTACTCTTGGTAGACAGTCCGCAGACGGTGTATATCACAGGTCTTCCTTGTACTTATTAGGGACGACTTCTGAAGTAGAATCTGTCTGACACTTTCAATTCGTTACTTCCACAAGGTACTGTATATCGGCATATACTGATGGCTTTCTTCTTCGGGTCGATAGCTTTAAACAGTACTATTAAACATATGCACAAATAGCAAACATCAACAAACAAACTAAATAGGTGGCTGTGAAGAGCACATAAAAATATACCAAACGACTTAGACTAGCATACATGAAACTTTGCTTCACCTCCAGAGTTCCATAGCACTTAGTAGATAGTAAACATACGGTTTATAAGCAGATGCACCTCTCCTACTTCGGCGGCGAGTTCCTAACCAGCAACAAATAAGAAAAAACACATACCTTTATACGGCACAACGTACAGCAGCAGGTATTAACTTTTCACTTCTTTACTTCCATAGCTCTTAGCAGACAACCTCCAGTCAGTGTATGCGCAGATGGGCCTCTCCTACTTCGGCGATGAGTTCCTAAACACCAACAGACACAGGGCAGAGGAACTGCGACTTATGAACCCCAACGGCCAGATGAGCGATCTCGACATAGCCTACGGAAAGCTGACGGAATTAAAGGTATGTCTACTGACCTTTGTTTATGTGTGTTTATATGTATGTATGTCTGTGTGTGTGTTTACGTTTGTGTGTTTACTCGCGTTTCTTCATTATTTGTGTTTGTGTTTATGTGTGTGCTTGTTGGTGTGTATTCAGTTTTATTCATTGCTCATCTGATTGTTTATGTGTATGAGAGTATTTTATGCTTGTTCATCGTGTGTGTGTGTGTGTGTGTTCTTTGTCCATGTGCATTTGCTCGTTTGTGTCTGTGAGCTTGTATAGTAAGGAATGGGAGTTCGTACTCGTTGTACTCAAAAGCTACACACACGACACACGTACTGTGTTCTCATATCATAGCCTTCTCCCGTGAACTGCACCCTAACCAGTGTGGTTGAAGCTATAACATCTATACAGTATTATTGTCTGCATATTTATCAATGCCTGTACTATATCAGAGTATAGGTTGATACCGATATTACTATATGTAAGTGCCAATACCTATAGCATATCACAGTATCTTGATCTAGTACCTATACCATATCACAGTACATATATCTTTGCTAATATCTATACCATATCACAGTGCGTATATCTTTATACTAATATCAATACACTATCACAGTACATATATCTTTATACTGATATTTATACAATATCACAGTACATTATCTTTATACTAAAACCTATACCATATCACAGTACGTATATCATTATACTAAAATATCTATACAATATCATAGTACATATATCTTTATATTAATACCGATACCATATCGAAGTACATACAAAACCTATACCATATCGCAGTACATATATCTGCATACTATTTCCTATCTTATATCACAGTAAATGCATGTGACTGCTCATCCCCATAAAGTGTGTCTCAATACGTAACTGTATCACAGTGGAAAATATGTACCAATACGTACACTATGTCACAATTTACGTATGTGTACATTCAACTAATGCAAAGTGCAATACACTACGTTTTCTATGTGACAGGACATCCACACAGGGGCAAGTGTGCGTGCATCTGACCTACGTGTTACGGAAATGAACAGGACTGTTACGGTTTGCGAAGAGACTGTATGGTTTATGCAGGCGCACAAGGTATGTGCGAGAAAACGTACCGATCACAAGTTCTGTTCTATAGGTTCGTGATTGAGAAACCGAAAATGACGAGTTAAGGCCAACGGAGTAGCCACTAGTAGGCTTTTCATTCATACAAGTACATTCGGTTTATATTGAACCTATACACGTTTATATCGTTATATACATCGCACTACTTTATACTAAAATCGCCTACTTCTGTAGTACGGGAAAACATAGTCATTGCTTATATATATGAAGCATTAATTTAATTATTTTATTTATGTAT